CTACCCTATTTAATGCATAGGGTAGCATTATATATATATAGATTAAGATGTTTTGATATTAATAATATCAAGAATTTAATATCAATTATAATTTAAGTGGGGCTTAAATTATATCTTACTCTTCATTATGTGGTTTTGATTGGACATCATAATGTTTTTAATATCAAAATCTCCTGATTTTTCACTTCCTCTTAAACTAAAATATTTTCTAAAATATGAAATTCATAATCACCATAGCCCCCTATTCCTCTCTTTTGTTTAATCACCAATAACTAGGACCAGACTTCTACTTGAGTTTATGGCTTTCAAAAGCACAATAAACCGGAGCCATTTGCGGGTTGTGAGGGAAGTGGAGGCAATTGGTGGCAATGCGCAAGCCTTAGCTTCTAGGAAGCAGATGGGTTGCACTTTTGATGCTCTTAAGACTTATGGTCCTCCAATGGTAAAACTACGTATTGATTGTGTGAGACACCCTGCTTCCTTGCATTGGAAGGTCAGTGAACAGGTAAAGACCTTTATAATCTTCGTGTGCGTATGCTAATTAATTGCTTGAAATTTTAGATCAAATGCTCTTGTAGATATACATTTTTTCATTTTATCTTCAGCAACTTCATAAGGTGAAAGCTGAAATAATTGAAGCTTCCAACAATCATCGCAGCTTGCTTTTAGAGGCAATTCACTCTGCTAGTTATTCATGGGATTTAGCAAATCCTCTTCTAGCTCCAGAATCTGCTATAAATATATTGAATAGTACAATTCTCGAGGAATTTGTTGTTATTAGTCTAAGAAAGCCTGATATTTCAGTATTGTTTCGGCAGCTTCACCATCCAACACTGTTGAAGTCCTCAGCTGCTTCTACACCTGAAAATCCCGAGGATGTTTCCTCGGGGAAAACACTCCAACGCTCAAGTCAGCAATACTCAATATTCTAGAGAGAGATGCTCTCAAGGAGTAATTGCAGATAGAGAAGCGTAGGGATTAATTACCTTCTTCGGAGGTGGTTGGGGGGTATTTATAGCCCCAAGTGCTGACATGTACCTGCACATGTAAGTCTCTCATTGGCCCACGTGGTGCTGCCCACATGGGTATGTCTCCTCCTCTTGGGCCTGTGGGTGCGTAATTGGGCCTGCTGCATGTGGCCCTAAGAGGGCGTTGGGCCTAATCCCAACAAGTATGCTATATATTCCAATGCCAATCATATCCTTTTCTTAAAATGTTTTGCTTAGATTTATCTATCTTTACTTGGTTTTTGTCAAAATTTTAGAAAAATTATATTGCCCCTTACTTGTTACTGGTAACATATATTTGGGTTTACCCATAGGGAATTATTATCAGTTGCAGTACCACTTTTGTCAGATCTTCCTAAAATTCTTTGCCCTGTTGAGCCACAGTTTGTGTATGTTGGAAGTGATTATCATTGTCAAGCTGATTCAAGGGTATGTATACTAAATGTTTTGCATAGTTGTTACTTTTATCTTTCTTCTTCATCTATAGCTGACAATTATTTTGTAGGATGCAACTCATTTTGCTATTGCATTTGAACTTCCCGGCGGTTGGCAAAAGGATAAGGAAGCTATGGCTTTGACTGTCCTCTAAGTGCAATCTTTGCTTTTCTTTTTCAAATCAATATGCCTGTTTCCCCACCCAACCACCCCCAATTTCCTGATTTCCTTTAATGAACATTTAGTTAAGAGTGTTATATTGTAGGTTTCATGATGTTGTATCACTACTTTGTAATTCATGTTTCTGTTGCATTGCTATCTCAAGAAAGAAAGGAAGAATAAATCTTATTATACTGTAGATGCTATTGGGGGGAGGTAGATCTTTTTCAGCTGGTGGCCTTGGCAAAGGAATGCATACAAGGCTGGGTAAGATCTTAAGTGTATTTTATCTATAGATTGTTAATGGTGGGCTTATTTCAAAAAGTAGATGTTAATTTGCTTTATTATTTTATCAATGTGTAATTCTTCTGACACTATCTCATTGATACTCTCTTTTTTCTACTTTTTCTTAAGTTGATGCACAATTTGCTTATTTGCTAAGTAAATCTCCATGTCAAATATGTATCCCTAAATTCAATCACTTTCAGCATTCAGCAACATCTACAATCATAATGGGAATTTTGGCATCTAAGTTACTACTATAAGCCATCTCTTAAATCTTCTATAGTTTGTGTAGTTTTGGCAAATTAGTTTCTACTAAGGGCAAGGGTTGAATAGTCAACAGCGAAAATGATGTGTAGGCTAACTAGGATACCCCCTATGAGAAATAAGGAGGGTCTTTTTGGCTTGCACTAGTTTTACATGCAAGAGGCTACATGCAACAAGTTGCCTCCCTTCATCTAGCGAAGATAAGCTACACAAGGCTCTTCAGCAATGTTTGAAAATGCAACTTCCCTAGCCAAGTCAAAAGCGCAAAATGGTAATGTCGAAGTTTCGAGACCATGATTACACAACTACAAAAGAAAATGAATGGGTGATGTACATTAAAACAGGACCAACAAGGATAGAAAATACAAAGATTAACTTTTACAACTTGAGTGGCACATTCATATGAAATACATTTTGGAATAATAATGAACACAATAAATGTGCCCTATACTATCCTTGACAAATACTCCAATTCTAAAATAGGCAACCTTCATATTAGGGCTCAAAACACTATAATCTTCTTCAAACTAGCATAAAATAAGGAAGAATAAACTAGAAAGTAGTGATGGGAGAAGGAAGGTGATTGTTGTCGAGGCTTTTAATGGAGGACTTGATCATATTGTGTGATGTTAACTTTGCTATTGGTTGATCTTCTAATGCTCAAGAAAGATAACCTAGAACCTCAAGTTATAACATGAAATCTTTTGGCCATAATGAACAGCAAGTTTGGAGAATAATTTGTGTTGTTGGAAATGTAAGAAAAATGTGTAAAATGAAGGTTTATGGGGAATGTATATGTAGATGTGAGCTTAGAAAATGTAGTGGCAATGAATGGAAGTAGGTTTGGAGAATTATTTAGTAGAAGAGTTGAGAGGTTGAAGATAAATATTTCTGATGGTGAAAAAATTGTATCTTTTGCTTGGAATAACGAAGAATCCCCCGAAAATGAATAATCAAATATATACCAATAGTGGCATTTTGGTAATTTTAAGTTCATGAGGCCAGGGCAGCCTAATAATCAAACAATTAGATTTGGGTTGGTGAGGACATGTGTCAAGTTTTATGAGGATTAAGGCGCTTTTGACAGGTTTTGATGTGTGATTATGAATTCTCCAACATTCCCAACGAAGGACTATTAGTCCATTAAAGCCTTCCCATTCTTGGCAACTTTATATCTATATGTAAAGCCATATTTGGTGTGTAATTATGCACCACCAGCAAATCTTCTTCTGTATGAGATTTTGGTAACCTTACCAAGCAAAATGTAATCTTTTTGCCAATTTTCCATGCAATGAAACTTATGTAATCATCGATGCATTAAATATATCTGCAAGCTGGTGATGGAGACTCAAATGGCTTATTTGGTTGATTTTTAATAAGGTTATAGCTTTTCTAGTTAGGATCAAACAATGTAGTTTTTAGGATTAAGTTTTACCTTTATGTGTTTATCGCCCATCCCTTCCTCATGAAGATGAGCAATATCGCTAGCCCTAAGCTTGGCTAGCATGAATACTATACTTTGCCAGATGGGCAACATTTATCCATTCATGCTTGCCAAGCCACTACTCCCATAATTAATCTCGAGTACTCCTTATGAACTTATATTCATGGGTTTGGTGTTCATCTACATCAAAAAGCAAAACATTAATGAGTATTTGTTCAAATATATAAGTGTGAAACATGTAAGTATTTGCAGTAAATAAGAACATTCCCATGTGTATCAAAAGGGATGGTATGAACAAACATTGTTATGCCTCTTTGTCCATTTGTTATGGGAAGCACCTATATAATATTGCTATATATGTCTGACGATGCACCAAGATAAAGAATGAATAATATGAATGTGTGCTATAGTATAGTTTTATCGAGCCAAGCGTCGCTAGTCAACAATACCTGTTAACACATAAAAATGTAATGGAAATATGTTGTAGATCGAGATTATCAACGATTGATAATTTGCACCTTTGTGTCAAACAAATAATAATGTGCATGACCATTGGCCATGGTATATATCACAGGGTTAGCCAATAATAGCTTTCGATAATTAAAGGGACAACAGTTTCCAACTTTGCCTATGGTTGGAGCGTGAACTATATGGAGCAAGAAAGATTCCTAGTAATCTGTCAAGCCGTGAAAAGGATACATCTTGTTAATTTAAAACTCCAACATAGTGATGCATATAATAAAATGGGTGGAGTGTTATCCATGGAAGGAGCATGCTAGCCACATCCATAGCCTTTAGTACAAACAAGGTTTAATAGCATGATAGGATCATTATGCACCAAATATGCACTACTCTTAGGTAAGTGAATCTAATTGATTATGAAGTATAAGATGAGTATGATATTGCTCCCTCGAAGACTATTATACATTACTAAGATAATATTAATCTAGTCTAAGTTAAATTAGTTAATTAATTTAATAGAGTTAAACTACTTAACCTAAAGGAATATTCTAAGTAAAAGGAACTATAAATGAAAAGGAATTAAGGTTTGGATTTCATTTAATTTTGAATTACGCAACTATTTAATTAATTTAATTCAAGTTTAAATAACAATGTTATGGCACAAAATGACAAATTTCTCTTAATTAATTAATTAATTTTCTCAAGTCAAGTTAATTCTTCCCTTACTTATTAAATTAATTATATCTCTATGTAATTTAAAAGAAATTGACGAGCGTTAAATTCTTTGGAAACTTCTAGTTTAAGAAGAAGGACTTCCTAAGTCTCTTCTTTTCCTTTACTATCACATGTGACGCTAATTACCTTTTGATTTCATAGTCTAACACATGGTTTAAATTATTATTAGTCTAATTTATGTAGTTCTTTCTTAAATTCATGCATAAACCACTAAATCTATTGAAAGGTGATCAAGCTTTTAGTGCATTAAGTTTAACAACATAAACTATCATGTAAATACCCAATAGGTCTTGAATTAAACCAAAATCAATCACATAATCCAAGAATTAAAATCCATCTAACCCTAGTTCAAGTAATTTAACCACATATAATCAAGTTTAGAATAGTCATAAAAAATTAAAGAGGAAATCCAACAAAGAAACATTGAAAAATTAACAAGTGGGAATGAGAAAACCAATCCCCTAAGACTAAGAGCAAGGTTGAACTACTACTTGGACTTTTCTTCCTCAATTGTGTGTTGTTGCTGCTATGGACTCCACTCTTAACTCATTGCTCAAAGCAAGGCTAGTAAAGAAGAAAACAAGATATGGCCCCCCACTCTACTACAAAGTCGAGATATACATAATATTCTATACCTTTATTTTCACTTTTTTAGTCCAACCGTTCTTCTAGGGCTTTTGAATTTTTGGGCCTAAATTGTTGCCAAGCCACAACCTTGAAAATCCCTAAGCTCCAGCTCCCTTTTTGCAATCTACCCAACAATTATTGTGTCAAAAATGAAAGATTAAACTAAAATTTCAACTTGAATACAATTGAACTTGGTTGAGCTTGTAAAAGATGAATTATAGTTTTATTTCTTAGCTTTCGAATGCCTTAAGAATCATCTCAATTTGATATCTGAAGAAAAAATTAGGACTAAGTTACTACTACATGCTCAAACTACCACTAGTTGAAAAAATAAATCCCATTAACACTACTAAAAAATACCTCTTTTTCGGACATACTATTTTGGTCAAGCAAAAATCTTGACCAAAATAAGATTCATTTCGGATATTTTAATTGACCGAGACACAAAATTGTCCGTTTTATATCATCTTCGATGAGTAATTTGGTCAAATATTATTTCGGTTAAGCATTTCAACTGAACTAATGGCGGGGAGTTCCCCAAATCTCATATTCGGTCAGTAATACTGACCGAAAAAATGCAGAAAAAAATACTTTGTTGTCAAAACCATTAATATAATCTGACTCGGTCTATTTCGGTCAATAATAATGACCAAACCCTAATTCTAGTTTTGATTCGATTGATAATGAATAAAGCTGATTTTTTTTTTTTTTCTCTTTTTTCGATTAGTAAAAATGATCGAAATAGATGCATAGATATCATAGCCCTGCGGTTTGATGGAGTCTGCAGAAAGCTTAAGCCTTTAAGATATTTTTCCCACTATTTTGGTCAGTAAAACTGACCGAACTAGTGCAAGCATCATGAGCTGATTTTCTTTCTCCTATTTCGGTCAGTCTTACTGGCCGAAATAGATGCACAGTTCATTCACAGATCACGGGCCTGATGGAGTCTACAGGAAGATTCAGCCTTTGAAAATTTTGCCTCTATTTCGGTCAATAAATATGACCAAAATAGTGCAAAATGTGGGTTGATTTGATGGAGCTTCAGCTTTGCAGTTTTTGTCCGGTCAATGCCATTGACCAGAAAAAATTGAGGTGCAGCTTTTTATTTTTTCGGTCAATTATTTTGTCCGAAATTGAGAATAGTGAAGATGATTGATTGATAGTTAATGGGACCCACACTATTTCGGTTAGATTGCATGATCGAAATAGTGCCTGGCTATTTGACACCCGGCTTTCTTTCCCTCTACATCATAATTGTGTTTAGTTTGTTTCTCTCTTGTTCCTTTCTCCTTGTTCATCAAAAACTTTCTTCAATTTCTTTCTATCTTGATCCTTTTGCTTCTATTTTGCTTCTTTAGTTGCAACGATGGGTTGGTTTTGG